CCCTCCCGATTTCCTTTTCAGGCATATTTCTTTCTATTCCCTAAAGAGGGGACCTGGCTTATACAATCTCTCTGGATGTTCCCCTGCAGCATAACATGAGGCTAAAAGTGCAGCATTGTGTGCAGACACAGCAAAGTGACCTCCAGCTTTCCGCAGCGAGCAGGATGACATGGGTGCATTAAGTTAACCTTTTCAGACAGGCATAATGTGCCATCAGTAAACACTCGGGTGCTAGCTCATCCTCGGACCTCAATGCTTGAAGCCAGACCTTAATTAGTCACAGGACATTATGGCCTTGCATATTGTTTTTATAGTAAAAGGGGGGCGCTTGCATCAGATCTAGACTTTGCTTTGCACAGATGCCCAAGAGGAATCCATATCAGGGGGCAATGCAAAGCCATCCTAGGCTTTCCACCCATCCTTCCACATGATTCATTGTGACCAGAGGTGTTGCAGGAAGGAAGCTAACAAAGTCTGTGCTGGTGACAGAAACGGACCAAGGCAGCACTGCCCATTAGCAACAAGCAGGAATAATCCTGAACTGGATTTCTATGGATTTATACCCCTGATCCGCCACGTTCAATACAACTCCCTTTATAAATTGGTTTTTACCCTCTACCTCACCTACTTCAGCACTGCAAAACCATTCAGTAGGGCTCCTGGTAAAGAACGAGACGTGAATAAGAAAGTGGAATGGGGACAGACTCTCGTGCACGAGAGTAACAGAGCTGTTACCACTTTTAGACTTTGGAGGAACCTCAATGAGTTGGTTTGCTGCGCATCAGAAATGTCACCGTTCTTTTAGTGGATGAGTCTCCAATCACATTTCTTCTCCTGGGGTCTTGGAAGTTTATTTTTCACATAGGTTTGTTTTTATAGCAGAGATCAGTTTAATTCTATTTCGGTTGTAGGCCCAGGAAGATGTAATCTTTAAGGCATCTCTCTTTTAAAACTTTAAGGGACACGGTAGAGATAAAAATCTATATACAATTTTATTTTAAAAAGCCTTGGCAGATGACTCAAAAAGTCTGGTTTATTTATCAGTCTGTGTTTTGCTTATCACCATCTGTGCTGCTACGTGCACTTTACTCCATGGAGACAGTGAAATTAACCTGGTTCATTTCACGTAAATTTTATATTATTATTTGTATTACGATAGCACCTAGGAGCCCCAGCCATCGACCACACTGTGCTAGGCACTGTACAAACACAGAACAAAGAGATGGTCCCTGCCTCAAAGAGCTTACAATTTAAGTAGGGCCTGACCTTCCCCTCCCTGCTTAAGCAAAGCTTTCACTGCCTGATTCTGATCACCCCAGTTAAGTAGCATCTTGCGCCAGACCAATAGTTCCATTCACTTCCATGGAAGTGCTACTCTGGGTAAGCAGTGGTATCAGAACTGGGCTCTCGATACAACCTAATAACCAGGGCACGTTGTTTGCAAAAGGACAGCAGAATAGGACCAGCGGGCAGTTTCACTTTGTAGTCCTTGTGCTCTATTGCTCTGCTGTTTGCTTTCGGCTCATGACACTGCAGGGGGAATCTTCATGGCCAAGGAAGCGTTCAGTGACTTTTTAAGCAATGACATTTCTCTTAGCATTAGGTTTTTCAAAAGTAAGCGTGTGTGTGTGTGTGTGTGTGTGTACGTAAACCT